CTCCCTCCCAGCCGCTGTCGCCCGTCTACCCCCCCTCCTGCGTCCAATGAGTTTGCGCTTTCCGTTGCCGGGACCGGCTGAGCGCGCGTGCGGACTCACTCTGCCGCGCTGCGGCTTAAAACATGTCAAGCGCATCCCATCCGACAGTTCAAACTGCAGGGATACCTGAGCGAAGAGGAAGACGGAACGCATCATTAACACCGAGCCTCTGGAGTCCCGATTCGGGTACCGACCTTCGTGCACACGCCCTCGCGACATTTCGGGCACCTATGTCCACACAGATCTTGGCCCCAACATGGAGTGCGGAAGCTTCGTGATGGTGGGTGGATACTGTCCGTCCTCTGCAACAGGAACGCAGGTGTACAAGTAGTTCGGGGGCCACCCAGCTCCGTCCTGAGTTGTTCAACACGTGCGGGGGGCTGCCAGGAAGCGGCCTGACCGAGTGCGCGAACCAGCACCCCGCCACCGCGCCGAGCCCCATGCCCTCGGCTTTCTCGATGGTGAGCTTCAGCATGCCGACGTTCATCATCTTGAGCTGTCCTTCGGGTGGAGGACTCGACTCGACTCGACTCGGTTGCCTACGCGGTACATGATCCCTCTCACTCACGAGCCCCACGACACGTGCTGCAGAACATGGGGACGGGCGAAACCGTGGTCACAGCTACTCCGTTGGGCAACGGAATATGGACCATGCACTGCCCCAGGCCTGGCCAATACTGGGCCCAAGAGCAGCGTATTTGCCTCCCTGGCCATGCCAGGAGGCCGCATACACCGCTGCTGGGCCAAGGATGGGCCAGGCCTGGGGCAGTCGATGTGCACGACGGTCGGATGAAGTGTGTAGAAACATGAAGAGGCAAGGCGTTGGAAGTAGAGTGGGCTTCCGCCCGCGCCCCAAAGATGAAGGAAAAGGGAAACTCACTCGAACGCTGGAGCAGGAAGGCGCCCAAAGTAGATTGGAATCAGAGGAGCCACACGTGCTTACTTTCAGCGACCGACGAGTTCTCCTGCGGTGTGCTCGGACACAGGCACGTGGCCACCGGCGCTCGGCTCCGACGGCTACCAGAGGCTGACGAAGCACGGGAGGCAGAAGGGGGCGAAGGCAACGCCCTGCACCCGCGCCTGCCCTGGCAAGCGTAGGTGAGGAGGAGGAGGAGGAGGAGGGGAGGAGGAGGAGGAGGAGGAGGAGGAGGAGGAGGAGACTCGGCACTGCGCTCGGTCTGTGCCGTGCTCTACTCACAAGAGGTCGAGAGTAGCGCGCACCGCCCAGCCCTGCGTACGTACACGCGCGCAGGCATACGCAAATCGTCAGACCCTTATGCAGGAGGGAGAGGAGGACGAAGAGGACGAAGAGAAGACGGGGGGGCGTAACGCCCCCCCAACAAAAACTGGCCCGCCAAGGGCCTGAGTACCTGGCCCGATCTCCGCACATGTGAACAAGGGGGTTGCGCACGTTTCCCACGATCCAAACATTACCCTGCGACGTAACCAAACCTGCCTACGCATGTGGCGACGATGCACAGGACCGATCACTACAAACGAACACGTTGAAGGACCCCCAGAAGCCCACTAAAATGGCGACAATTGCGCAATTCGCAGCCACCCAGGGAGCCGCGAGGTCGCGGCTGGGTGTTCACAACTCAACTCCGTTTGGCCTCAAGAGCATGAGACCCTCCGTCGGCCAAGACATACATAACATCCAAGGGTACCCTCCCCAGGATGCACAAGGACAGCCAACATACAGGAATAATTACACTAGGGTGCCTTCCCTGAACCGACCTCGATTTTATAACTCGGTCCGACTGTACCCGGTGCTGCAGTCGGTGGACGAGGCTCACCGAAGACTCCGCGGGACATGGATGTAACATGGCCCACGGCCAAAACACCCTGACGCGCCCCTCCCACCTGCCCTCCTCCTTATCTTGTGTTGCATCCTGGGGGGACCCCAATCTGTCCCGTCGCGGCTCGTCGGATCCGTGTCGAATCCGCGTCGAATCAACGCCAAATCCGCGTCGAGTGCGCATCGAGCCCGCGTCGTGCACAAGAGAAGTTACCAATTTTGGAGACAGGCGAGGTTCTCCGAAGACGCAACGTAACTTCTGCTCCCCCTCCTCCGCATAGCTCCAAAAACCTGCAGACACCTCCAGGAACTTCCGAATGACACGGAACAGATCCTGCAATCCTTCGGAACATTGGGAAGCCTCCTCCTTCTCCTTATCCTCCTCCTTCTCCGCCGCCTCCTGCTCACTTCTCCGGGAACGTATATGTCTATGTATGTATAAATAGATAAGAGAATATACCTATATACATAACTTTACGCACACGTGCATATGTATACATATATATATATACACAGAAACCTCTGCGACCGCCGAAGAAAACTACCGAACACCATCCGAGGGCTCTCGAAAGCCCCAGGTAAACGTCCGAACACTGCAGAAGCCTGAAAACACCGCTGTCCTCCACGCCTCCCGCCTCCTCCTCCTCTTCCTCCTCCTCATCATCCTCCTCCTCCTCCCTCTTGCCTCCCTCCCTCGCTCCCTCTACCCCTCCCTCCCCCTCCCTCCCTCGAACGGCCTGGGCTCACCGACCAGCCCAGCCGAGCGCCAGCCCATCCCTCCCTCCCCCCCCGCTCCCTCCACAACCTCCCTCTCCCGCCAAGCATCCTCTCGCGCAAACCGGTTGCCGCTGGGCCACTGGGCTCGCCACGCCGCGAGTGATACCGGTTGCGGGTACGGCGACCCTGGCGGCGCACGCGGTGCGGGCACGGGTTGTATCCACATCCACTGCGTCGTGTAGTTTCGGGCTCACTTCCCCAGCAATCACAGGCGCAGTGGACATGGAAAAGAAAAATCTGGCCCCCAGAGGATAAGGATCTTTATCCATACCCACTGCGCGTCGCCCTTTTGGCGCAGCTTTCCAGAACATCCAAGAGGCAGTGGATACGGATACAGTCGGGGTTGAATGGAGAAGACACACGAGAGGACACAAGACTCTTCCCAGGGCAACGTGGCAACAGAAATGTAAAGGCATGGATTGCGAAACACAGGACACAAATGTACCCTTGAATTTAGCATGGTCGACCTACTAATCAGCATCATCTGTATCTTTCGGGAGATCCACTGCCAGGTCAATGCACACCTGGGTCATTCAGGCTCTGCAAGATCCTGCAGAATCCTGCAGGATCCTGCAGGATCCTGCGCCCTAGCCAGTGTGGATGCACCCCTGACCCTGCAGGATCCTGCAAGATCGGGCGCTCTGACCGACCCCCGTTGGCACTGACTCCCGTCTCTTAGAGCCCCCGCACCGTGCCCGCACGCGGCTGCCGGCCAGGCCCGCGGCGCGGCATCGGCCTGCCGCTCGCCGCGAGCCGCCGCAAGGCCCGTGCCGCGCGGCCGCTGCGGCGCCTGCGGCCTCGCGGCGGCGCGCCGCGCCGAGCCGCCGCCCCACCGCCGCCGGCAGAGGCGCCCGCTGCCATGCCTGCCGCGCCGGCACGCGCCGACTGGGCTGGAGGCGCAGGCCCTGCGCCACGGCGGGCACCGCTCAAAACTGCGCGGCTCGCCCAACGAGTCGGCGCCATCACGGCAGGAAGCTGGCCGCCGCCGCACCGAAACGAGGGCACGGACCGCACACCCCGCTCTCTATCCACGCCTGCCCATCCAGCATCCCTCTCATCAGCGCCGTCCCTTCCCCATCTCCCCTCCTGTCCCAGTCTCCGCCGGCTCCTCCTCCTCCTCCTGCTCCTCCTCCTCCTCCTCCTGCTCCTTCTCCTCCTCCTCCGTGTTTCTCCTCCTCCTCCTCCTCCTCATCTTCCTCATCTTCATCCTCCTCCTCCTTCCCATATTCCTCCTCATCCTCCTCGTGCAACCATCCTCTCTGAAAACCCACCGAGAGCCCCCCCGAAAGCCAAGCCTCATAAAACAAAACATTGCCTTCGAAACAGCTGATGCAGGGTCTCTGAAAATCCTCAGAGAGGTAACACAGCGGTCCCTAGAGGTACTCCGAGTGCCTCTGGGAATAACATACAAGCATGCCAGCGGCACCGCCAAAGGCCTCCCAGCGGCGAGAGGCGGGGATGGCGTCCAGCGTCGGCGTCGCTGTCATTCTCGTCGGGGTCCATGAGCGGGAACGTCCACTGAGCGGTCACGAAGAGCATGCCCGTGCACTTGTCCTCGGACAGGACGAGGAAGAGGACGGCAGGAGGAGAAGGCGGAGGACGAGGCCGAGGTGGAGGAGGTGGAGGGGGAGAAGCAGGGGAGACGAAGGAGGGGAAGGGGGAGGACTAGAGGTATCAGGGGAAAGCTCATGCAGAGGAGGAATGGAAGAAGAGGAGGACGAGGAGGAGGGAGGAGGAGGAAGAGGAGGAAGAGGAAGAGGAGGAAGAGGAGGAGAAGAAAAAGAAGCGCGAATAGATTTGATCATTGCGGATGGTGCCATTCGCAGTCGAAGACCACGGCCTCCTCGGTGAGGATGCCCTGGCGATGGTCCGCCTACTGGCCCCGCGGCCCGACGCAGATCGGTTGGCGGTCAACCGCCGGCTGCACCAGGCGTTGGGCAGCGTGCTCCAGCGCCACGCCGCGGACGCCGTGCTCGCTGCCACGCAGCGCCAGCTGTGGCGGGCCGGAGGTTTCTGAGCCGGCTGAGGAGCAGGAGAATATTCCCCGAGGGCCTGTCGAGGCAGAATGTAAGACCAGCCGCCTCAACCCGATCGACGGGCGGCAACTGCTGCATCCTCCCGCGCGCGAGCGCGAGCAACCAGCGCCTGCATGCCTGGAGTAAACTCAGGGTTCGGGGAGACGTAAGACTCGGGTTCAGGGGACTCGGGGTGACCTGACGGGGCCATCATGAAAATGACGGGACCCAGCCAGGAGCTTGACGCGAGCTCCCGCTGCAAAGACCCCCACGAGAACTGACCCTCAAAATCAGGGACGCGCTCCTCAAAAGACGTGGGCAAGCCCGAGCTCCGGCGCGCTCGAGTCCCACGCTTCCCCGAAAGGCGCGGGTCAGAGGCAGGCGGTTGCCCGACCTCTGCAGCCAGGGCGAGGCGGCGAGGGAGGCGGCGCCGCCCCCGCTCGCAGCCCGTGCGGGCGAGGAGGAGAGGCGACGCCCGGGACGAGGCGGCGCGCGCCGCCGAGGTAGTGGAGCAGGGGCCGACCGCCCCGGCACTCCTGCGGGGCCCGCCACGACACGCTCTCAAAACCCCCCCAAAATGGTCAATGACAGGATGCTCTTTGCTCCTAGGGCGCGGCGCTGATGGATTGCACGAGGAGGGCCCCAGCCTGAAGTTTTCGTGCAAGCCACGAGAGGCTCTCGGAACATTCTCTGGTGGCCTAGTATACGCAGGTCGGGACGCTCCGCCACTGCTTGAAGGAGGCGGCGGAGCTGCAGAGGGGGAGGCTGCGGGGCTGGGCGCGGACGGGCGGGCTGACCGACATGGCGGCGCGCCGCCGGCCAGGCGGCCAGCAGGGGAGGCCAGGGAGGCCCGGCTGGCCCCGCGGGGGCTGGGCGCAGGGCTGCCCGCTGCACGCGAGAGGGGCGCCAGGGGGCCGCACTTGAGCGCGCAAGCCGCGGCCATCGCATCGCGTTCCGGCGATCGGGGGGGGGCCACTGGGCCGCTTGCCAGAGGTCGCTCCTGGCGAAGGGCCACTCGCACGTGCCGTCGAAGCTGGCAGGCCCGGGGTGCCGGCCGTGGAGCTGGGCATTGGGGCCCGAGAGGCGCGGCCTGCTGGGTGCACGCCGTGCCGGACGCGCTCCCGGGCGCGGGCAGGGAAGGGCTTCCAGGTCGAGTTGAGCGGCTCAGGACCTCCTCGCCCTGGGGCCCTTCAGGCGTCGCGCCATACGGGGGCTCCCGGGTATCGGAGTCTATCGCCCCTGGGTGGCGCACCCTCCTGCCCCTACCAGCCTCGTCCAACAGAAAGTGTAACGCTGATCAGAACCGAAGCGCTTGCTAATTCGGACACTTGTCAGAAAACACGTTCTTCAAAACTGTGTGAGGGTAATGCCGGGTTTCGGGCACCCCTGCGTCTGGGCCAAAATATCTCATGCCGGCATTGAAGTAGCGCCGACCACACAAGCACCGAAAGCAATAACCGCCAGTGTTTTTGACGAGTCTTGTAGGAGCGGCCCTCATTTGAAACGTGCGGTCATTCCTGGGAGTGGAGGAGTGCGCCGACCCCCCATGACAGAGTGCGGCCAGCTGGACACGCGGCCCGTCTGTGGAGGAGGGGGAAGAGGCAGGGAGGACGAGGAAGAAGGAAGGGGAGAGGAGCATGATAAAGGGGAGAGGAGGATGAGGAGGAGGAGGAGGAGAAAGGGGAGATAGGAGGAGGAAGGGGAGAGGACATCTCTCCATCCCCCACACCACCGCCACTGCATCTCTTGCCCCCCCCTCCTGCTCCCACCTCATCCATTCTCATCACCGTTCCCCACCTGCCCATCCTTCCCTTCCTCCTTCTCCTGCCGTTCCGCATCCACCTTCTCAACCTACCTCCTCCTCCTCCTCCTCCTCCTCCTCCTCCTCCTCCTCCTCATCATCATCATCATCACCACCACCACCACCACCACCACCACCACCACCATCGTCGTCGTCATCATCATCATCATCATCATCATCATCATCATCATCATCATCATCATCATCATCATCATCATCATCAGCATCATCATCATCATCATCATCATCATCATCATCATTAGCATCATCAGCATCGGCATCAACATCAGCAACAGCAACAACAACACCAACAACAACAACGACAACAACAACAACAACAACCTCAACAACCTCAACAACAACATCATCGCCCCCTATTCCGCGACGGCGTCTCTTCGCTGCAGTTGTGGCAGGCGATCGGGATGTCCTGAGCTGTCACGTCGGACGGACGGCATTCCCGTAGGCAGACGATGCGGCGGCAATCTCGAACTGAGGGCGCCGCCGCATTTGAAGATCAACATGCTGCCGGCGAAGCGTTCGTGCTTCTCCGCGCTGCTGGCATGCATGCCGACAGGCCGCGTCGAGGTCTGAAATGCCAGGTCGTAATGTGCATTTCCGTCGGCTTTGAATTAGCCTTCGGCCAGGTGGTCCCATGCCCACTGCACACAACGTAGAATAAGCTCGCACACTGCGACTGCTACTGCGTGGGAAGCGAAGACGGCTGCGCGAAACTCCCGACATGAGGTGCCGCCTGACTCAGCGCAACGAACACTGCGAGCCTACTGGCCTGACCATCAGGCAAACCAGCCGCCAGTGCCCTCTGAACTTCGAGCTGGCGTGGGACTTGGCTCCGACGATTTGCTAGCTCCAGAGGGGCAGGAGGACACAAATCCAAGATCCTGTGAGGCCCTGGGGGACCTCCAGAGGCCCAAAAGGGCCCCACAACACCAGAATAACAAAACCGCATCGGCATCCAAGACATCCGCGCGGACCCCCGAGAAGATACATTGATGTTTGCCTAGCTTCCCCGAAGCATAAACCACAACTCTGTACTCGACCAAGCCGCCTGCCTCGGCACTGGCGTCACAAGATCGCGCCGAGAAAACGACCCCCTCTGCATGGGCCCTGGTGGACCCTGCCGCTCTCGCGGCGCCTGCTCTCCTGTCTGCCCATCCATGCCAATGCCGCCGGCGACAGTTCGGTGGCAACTCACGGGAGCATCCCATGCCATCTGGCTGGTGCTTGCGACTAGACGCTAACCGACGCCAAACTGACGCTAAACCAACGCTAAGTCGGCGCTCTCTCATGGATTATCACAGGCTGGGGCACGCTAATGCAATATGGAGCCGAAATCCCACCAGCCCTCTGGGCGTCGGTGGTTTAACGAGTTTCCTCTTCCACCCCTCCCTCTTCCCTTTCGGGGAGGGGTTTACCCCTCCCCCTACCCCCTCCCCACTGACCTGGACAGGAAGGGCGGGGAGCGGTCAGAGCGTCCAAAACGGCCTCGGCGAGGAAGCCAAAATCATTGATTTTACTAGGGTTTGGGCCCCATTTTGGCCTTCTCAGGGGGCAACGCTAATTAAGGCTCCCCTCTTCTTTGATCGATTTCCTCCACGATGGCCGCAAGAGGCCCCCAGGATGCCCCAAGAGGCCGCAGGATGGCCCCAAGATGGCCCCAAGATGGCCCCCCAAGAGGCCCCCAGGAGGCCCCCAAGAGACCCCCAAGAGGCCCCAAGAGACCCCCCAGAGGCACCCAAGGTGCTCCCAGAGGCCCCAAGATGGCCCCAAGAGGTCCCAAGAGGCCCCCAGGAGGCCCCAAAGAGGATCCCGAACGGCCCACAGAGGCCCCCCCGAGGCACCCAAGACGCCGAAAGGCCCCTCAGGACGACCCTCTACTCGCCTGGGCGTCGTTTCTGGACGGGCTGGTGGGGATACTTTTTTTTTTGTTTACAGCCGCAGGCGGAAGCGCTGGCGGCGAGGGGTCCAAAATGGCGCGCCGTACATTCCCAGTCATGGGTCGTGACAACCGCTGGTGGGGATACGCGAAGCGTCTAGAATTTCATTGACATTCAAGGCTCCCAAGAGTTGCTGTAGAAGGTGCCGGCTCTCCTGTCTGCCCGAGATCTTCGTCGGCGAGCTCTTGCCTGGGGAGCGTCCGTGGGCCTTCGAGCACTGCTACCCGGAAGCCAAGGTCTGGGTATTGTCGCCAGGCATCGTCACGGACCCCGCGATCGCCGCTCCAGGGTCTCGGGCTACCCAAGCGGTCCGCGCTCCTCGGCTACCGCACCAGCCAGCCATGCCGCCCACCGCCGCCCCTGCCGCCGAACTTCCCGTGGCCCTCGAGAGAGCCGCGGCGCTGGCGCTTGCATGGCAGGCGGTCGCGCCAATCGCCTTGGCTCGAGACCCATTTGCGCCATTTCCGGTAGCCCAGGCCCAAAAGATCTGCCCAACGGCACGGAGCGATGATAGACTGGTGCACCGTGCTCGCACGTGAGCATGCGCTAGCATGGGATACGCGCGTGCCGCCTTGCATGGCCTGAAGAACCGGGGCTATCGGCACTGGGCATGTCCTTTCATCCCAAGACGAATCTGCCTGATCAGCTCTGGATCATGCCAGTGGTCTCCTAGAAGCCCATGTTGGCGAGACAAACAGCCCGCAAGCCGCCCCGACTGACCGTGGAGCCCAAGAGCGAACACTCGGTTATTCTGCATGGTTTAAGATGTGGCAGACCTGGCGAATCTTTGCGGTCACGGAACGAGAATCAGGAGGGTGAGGAAGACTCTGAGGACGAAGAGAATCCAGGAGGTGACTGTAGAAGGCCCAATGGAGGGCGGAGGAAGAGTGGGTGAACTGCAGGGAGAAGAGCAACCGTCACACGAGGCAAGAGACGAGATGTGCAAAATGTGGTCCACACTCAGGATCTGAGGTGCAGCGACCGACCCCACTGAGAAGGGGGCGGATGTGATGGCGGATTAGGTAGAAAAGCAAGAAGAGATTTGCCATGATCGTGAGGCTGGGGCATCCCAGGAGCGATCTTCTAGGCAGCTTTCCGGCAGCGGCGGGGCCAGAAAGGGTCCCAGAGAGGCCGAGAACGGCGAATAACCCCAAGACACCATCCCGTTCGACCAGCTGCTCATCCCGAGCACCTTTTCGAAGATCCAGGGAAGGCGATGGCCCACGCAAGCCGAAAAATCAGAGAAACCCTGACAACCTTATATTTCTTGAAGAACCAAAAAGTACCGATGCTGCTACTCCGCAGACCCCTCCCAGGGTGCGTTCCGACCTGAATTTTAAAGTGCATCCAGCTGTGGCGACGAAGGCCTCCCAGGAGGCCTAACCACGCGAAAATGAAGGGGTAGCGGTACCGGTACCTTACATTTTCTGCGGCCATAATGCGTACCCACGTCCAATGCGTCTTGGAGGTTCGGGCTCCTTCCCCAGACATCCGAGGCATAGTGGATATGGACAAAAATGCAGGCCCCAGAGGCTAGAGTTGTGTGCACATCCACTGCGCCTCCGCCTCTTGGCACCCCCTTCCAGAAAATCCAAGGCGCAATGGACATAGATGTACATGTTGTCCGCGTTTTCCTCCTCTGAACTTCACGGCGAGGAGATCATCGCTGGCAGGAAGCGTCTGAGTAGCTGGGGTCGGAGTAGATGGGGTCCGAGACGATGGGGTCCGAAAATCGCGCCGCAACGCGAATGCATCACCGATACATCGACAATGTATCGACGATGCATCGGCGAGGTCGGCGACGCATCTGCGACGTCGGCGTGGAAAAAGTCGGGCTCCACATCGAGCTGCTTCGCCGATGCATCGGCGATGCGGCGCCATCCTCCGACCCCATCTAGTCGAACCCCATCACGGCGAGGAGATCACCGCTGGCAGGATGAGGACGAAGATAAAAGAGGATGAATCGAGAATATATAAGATCCCGCGGGTCTGGAGGATGTCTCGGGCGCCGCGGCCTTCTCAGATCGTTCCAAGAACGCCCTGGGAGCGTTCCGGAACGCTCTGGAAAGGATGCGTCCTGCCCCAGCCCCATCCGTATATTCCTCCTCCGATCTTCACGGCGAGGAGATCATCGCTGGCGGGAAGCGACGGGCCGCCCCCCCTCGGCCCCGCCGCCGCGTCCTTGCGCTTCCGCCGGTCCGGGCGCGTGGCCGTGCCGCCTGCCCGCCCCGAGGCCGCCCGTGGCACACCAGCTCAGCAGAGCGGCCAACGTTGGAGGCTTGGGAGTGTCGGGGGCGGCCAAGAGGGGAGGGGGGGGGGGCAGATCATGGCCAGCGGTACGTGTGCGGCCCAGGGTGGGGGCAGGGACGCGTCAAAATGAGAAGAGGCACCATGAAATCTGGGGAGACCCGCCATGACATCCCCCCGCCCAGTCATCACCCCCCCTTGGGTCACCCCCACCAACACGGGGGGGGCATGACGATCCTAGATTTGGGTGCTGGTGGTCATCTTTCGGCCGCTTGGGAAACCCGAGAAGTACAGCCATCACAGAGATCAAGATCATCTTCCGTCGGTGGACACGCCGCCGAGATTGAGGCTGGTGCCAACCTCTGGGCCTCCGAAAACAGCTCGCGACGGAGGCGGCTTCGGTGATGTTAACACCCCCATCGGCCTAACTTGAAACATAAAACAGGGCCCGTATGATTTCTAAGTTCACGGGCGTGTAGAACCACGCGCTTGGTTGTCGAACTAACTGTTTCGATTGAGTGCTGACGACTTGTGCAATTCTTTATATTGGACAACGAAACATTGTCCAATTGTTTTTGTGTTGTGTTCTCGGGTCGCACAATTCGTCGGTTCCAAATCGAAAGAAGATGCACAACTCGTCAATAATCATTCACACAAACTGAACAAGTTCAAAAAAAAAATGTCCGACGAAACGAAAAAAACGTTACGAAGAACTTGCGCAGTTTTTAATGAAAAAGAGGACACCGACGAGTTGTGCAACCTTTCTCGTTGTGTTGGATAGTGTTGGGTTTTCGCACTTGTGCAAGCATTTCAAATAAAAAGGTAACAACTTGCGCATATTGATTTGACTGGACACCGACGAAATGTGCAATCATTGTTCGTCTTGTGGGCCGGGCTCGGTTCTCGCGGTTCTCGAACTTGTTCGAAATTTGAATGAGAACTGACGACTTGCACAGCTTCTTGGCTCGGGAACCGACGATTTGTCTAACCCTTCTCGCTGCGTCGGGTCGGGCTCGGTTTTCGAACGCGTGCAATCCGTTCGATTGAGAATTGACAATCTGTACAACTCTCCAAATTAGGAAGCGACGATTAGCGCACCGTTTTTGTTAGCCGCTTTGTCGGGCAAGGATTCATGTGCTGACTTGCGCAACTTGTTCGATGGAGAACATGCGCCTCGTGCAGCTTCTTTGATTGGACAACGACAAGATGCACAAACTGTTTCGTTTCGTCGGGCCGGACGTGCAACTTGTTGAACGAGAACTGCCGGCTTGTGGAGCTGTTTTGATTGGGAAACGACGAGTTTCGCAACCTTTCTGGCGTTGTCGGGTCGGGCCCCGGCTCGGCGTTCGCACGCGCGCAGCCCTATCTGAATGAGAAATGACAATTGGCGTGCTTTTTCTTCGTTGGGAACCGGCGAGTTGCGCAACCTGTTTCGCGTCGTCCGGTTGGGCTCGGCCTCCGAACGTGTGCAACCTGTCTGACTTGCTTAGAATAAGCGGCATGTGCATTTTGTTGCATGAGAACCGACGCGCTGTGCAACGTGTTTCTTTTTGGCGAATCGGGCTCGTTTTTTTTCCTCCCGAGTTGCATTCCCAATTGCTCTAGATTCGGCGACTTGTGCAGCTCTTGTGATTGAGACAGACAAACGCGCAACGTTTGTCGTTTCGCCCGGTTGGGCTCGTTTCTCGAACTTGCGAAACCTTGTTGGTTTTGAAATGACGATTTGCGCAGCTTCAAGCGGGAACCGACGGGTTGTGCAACCTTCGTCGTTTTGTCGGGTTGGGGTTTCCGATCGCGCGCGACGTCTTTGCGTAAGAATTGACGACTTGTGCAGCGTTTTCTGATTGGGAACCCACGGCGCACGCCGCCTTTTCCGTTTCGTGGGGCCAGGGCCCGCGTCCGACCTTGTGCAATCTTTTTGAATCAGATTTGCCGCCGTGTGCAGATTCTTTTGACTGGGAGACAACGAGTTGCGCAAGTTGCACAAGATGTCCGCTCCACGTCAAGAGGGTCGCACAAGCTCGATAACCAGGCCCAACCCGACGAAGCGACAAAGGCTACGCAACTCGTCGGTGCCGAAATAAGAAAGAGCAAAACAAAGTCGCCCATGCTAACTCGAAACAAAATTGCTCAAGCACGAAAACCGGGCACAACATGGCGAAGCGAAAAGGTTGCGCACATCGCCAGCTCCCAAGCAAAACTGCTGCACAAGTCGTCAATCCTAGATTACCAATGCCGCGCAATACAGAAAACCGAGCCCAAACCAGAGAGAAAGTTTGTCCAACTCGTCGGCGCCCCATTGAAAGGCTGCACAAGTCGACAATTCTATATCAAAAATTGATCGCGCAAGTTCGACACCGAGCCCAGCCCGACGGAACTACAGAGGTTGCACATCTCGCCGGTGCCCGCCACTCATCAATTCTCAAAAAAATGACAAGCGCGAAAACCGATCCCAACCGAACGACAGGAAAGGCTGCGCAACACGTCGGTTCACATTCCGAAGCGCTGCACAAATCGTCAATTCAAATTTAAAGAGGTTGCAGAGGTTCGAAAACCCAAACCAGACCGACGAAACAAAACAGGTTGCACAACCCGCTGGCTCTCAATCAGAAAAGCTGCACAAATCGCCAGTTAAAATCAAAGGGCCGCGCGCATTCGAACACCGAGCCCGCCAAGACCAAGCGAACGCGCATGCCGCGCAATGTTGAGAAAATCAGAAATTCTGCGGAATGGCCCGCGCCCTGGGTTCTTTTCCTTGAGCCAAGCGATTCCAATCCAACAGTCTCCGCTCAACGCGCGCGAGACCCTGCGGCCCTCCTCGAGGGCGCCGCGCATGCTAGCGGTCTCGTCGGTGGCGCGAGCTCGAAGTACACTGCGCAACCCCCGAGACCGCCAGGTCTCTCTCCCTGCAAAGACAACAGAAACAGCCATGGCATCGGAAACTTCTCGCCGACGGACGTTCTCAAAACTCACATTAACATGATCTCTATCTCTCTCTCTCTCTCTCTCTCTCTCTCTCACGCGCGCGAACCGACATCTGGAGCTGGTCAGAAACCGCCGCATTCCTCCAGACCCGCCAACAAAGCTCACCACACGCATTATCCCGTACTGTTCGTCCAGGATGCGCGCAGCACCATCAACGCCAGGCCCTCAATTCTTGAACTCCCAACGGCGCGCACCTGCCATCGGCATCCGAATGCAATTTACTCCTGGTATGGCGCGTGATCGGCCCCTGCGCCGTGACCGACCTCAGCTTCTTGATCTGCACCTCTGGCTCAAGCGACGCGTCCCTCCTGCGCCCCCTCAGCGGGGATGGCTCACTCGACCCGCATCTGTTTTCGCGAGCATCTCCGTGCGCGGGTCGAAACGGCGTGCCCCGCGACCCTGTCCCGAGGTCCTCTCCTCGAGCCCTGAGATCCGAACCCGCGACCCCCGTCGCCTTCGCCACGAGCATGTAATAAGTGAAAACAACAGCCATTACGGTAGTTCCGAGGCGCCGCTGACCGACTCTGGCTGCTCGGGCATCGCCCCCACTGCCGCCGCCAGTGCCCGCGCGGCGGTGTTCATCTGGACCGTCATGTTGATCATCAAGTTGATGCTCAGGTGCATGAGATTCACGATGTTGTTGACGTTGTCCACGCTCGTCCGCGCGAAGTCGACGCTCTCCCCGAACTCCTCCAGCGAGCCGGGAATCCGCTGGATCTTGACCGCGCCCTGATGGATTTGGAGCACGCCTTCTTCCACTCGGTTGGCCGCCGCCTGGGCATGCATCGCGCGCGCCGCCGCGGCGTCGCGGACATCCCACCTAAACGTTCGCCAGCGCCCGGGCCCCCTCGGGGATGTTGCGCAGCTGTCGCTGCAGGCTCTGGAGAAGATTTCCAAGCTGATTGACTGTGTCGAGCGCCGCCGCTCTCTGCTGGAACCCGTCGCCCTCCCGGAGGATCTCCGCTGCGCGCTGAGCTGAAGCTGCTGCTGTCCGCGCCGCCTGGGCCGCGGTCTGCCCAGGCCAGTCCGGCTGGTCTGCATTCGGCATCGCTGCCCGAGGGGCCCACGTCAGGCGAGCGCCGCAGCGCGCGCACTTTGACCCGCTGCCGCGCTGGCCCCCGCAGTAGCGCATGCAGCGCCGCGGGCATCCGCGCAGCGTGTCCATGTCGACGTTCTTCTGCAGCGTCGGCGGCTGCGGCGGGTGCTCGGCTAGAACTGCGCCCCCTGGTGCCGCGGCCGCCAGAATCGGCGGCAGAGGCGCGGCTGCTGGCGGGGCCCCCGCCAATCGGCCCAGCAACAGACCGGTTCTCGGGCCCTGCTTGGGCGGAGGCTCCACGCTGAGCGGCGGGGGCTTCGCGCGGGGGGCCGCGGCTTGCCCCGGCGCGCTGGGCGCCCCCGCCCGGCCGCTCGCGGCCAGCGGAGCTGCGATCATCGCGGCGTCCTCGGTTCCTGCTGCGGCGGCCCCAGGCGCCATTCTCATCGCCTCCTTTGCAACGGAATCGAACGTCCCGAGGCTGTCCTCCACCGCCATCTGCCCGGCGATCTCGCCCTCGGCGCAGCCGTGCCCCTGAGGGCCCGCAGGAGGCACTTCGGTTGTCTCTGTCTCCGTGATGGTCGGCATCTTGGGCTGAGCCCCGCGCCCCTGCGCGGCCCCCCGAGGCCCCGCCGAATGGCCTCGCAGGCGCCGGGCGTCTTGTCGCTCGGAACTCCCTGGCCCAGCGCCGCGAGCGAGACGAGGAAGGCGACCCTCGCGCAGAACGTGACCGGCGCGCCGGCTGCGTGAGCGGGCGCGAGCGCGCGTGAACGAGCGCGCGCATACTGGAATGCCTGGCCGAGGACTCAAGCCGAAACTGGCCACGGAGAGACTCCGCGCCGGGATTGCCGCGGATCCCCCCATGCCCCTCTGCTGGCGCAGCTGCCCGCAAGTCGCCTTAGCTTCTCCGGTTTATCCCGAGCCCTCGCGCAGTCTGCTGGGCTCTCTCTATCT